TAATTTGAGCAAAAGAAGCCAGACATTAAAAAAGTATAAACTGGATGACTTCAGTTATATAAAATACAAAGTCAGCCCAAACTAATAAATGCTATTAAAAGTCATCATAGATAAACAAGTTTCTTCTGTACAGCACAGGGAACTATGTTCAATATCTTGTAAGAATCTATGATGAAAAAGAATATGAAAATATATATATATATGTATATGTATGACTGAAACATAATGCTGTACACAAGAAATTGATACATTGTAACTAACTATATTTCAATAAAAAAAAGTCATGGTAGTGGGGGAATTAATGACTAGAAGAGAACATGTGAAGGGCTTCTGCAGTGCTGGTAATGTTTTGTTTCCTTGATAGTGATGCTAGTTGCACAGATGTGTTCAATTTGTGCAAGTTCACTGAGCTGCACAGTCACATTATATACACTTTTCTATATGTAGACTTCCATATGAAGTTAAGGGAAAAAAAACGGAAATCCTGATCTTCCCTTAGCCTTTCCCATTTTACTTAATGTCAGTTTCATCCTGAGTTGCATAAGTCCAAGATCTCCATGGTACCACTGGGCACAGAGTTGGGCAGTGAGCAACCTATGCAACCATATTTGGTGACCCTGTTTGTACCTTCCAACGCAGTATAACCTTATGTATCTTCTTTATTGTCTTTCTCCCTACCCACCATCACCTCTAACAGGTAAGATCCTCAGGGCATGAGTTTTTATATATTTGGGCCCTAGCTACATCTCCAGGACCTACAACACTGCCTGGCACACAATGGAAGCTCAAAACATTTGTAGACTATCAACTAAAAGAGTAGTGAAGTCAAAAACCTATGGGAGTATTTTTATCTTTCCTTTTTTTTTTAAAGGAAATTCTTCTTATGTTTCTCGATCTACTATCCACCTGATTTGCCTTGATTTTGAACTCAAAATAAGGAATCCCATCTTTGTGAACCATGAGAACATGAGCCCACGGTTCCTCAGCCACAGGAACTGTTAGCATCTTACCCGGGGAGCCAGGACTATATACGCAAACTTCTCAAAAAGGCTTTCACTTTTCTGGCTTCAATTTCTAAAAATGGAAAAGGGCAATTACGTATCTGTCCCACAACTTCACGGAGTTTTGAGGACAAGAGGAAAAATGAGCTATAAAGGTGCTTTGAAAAAGTAAAAAGCATTACAAAACAAAGCAAACAAGTCCAGGTGTTTCTGTGGGTGTGGATCCTAGTTTCAGAGACATAAGCAGTCTGACCAAAGTATCTGGACAGACCGCTTCTCAGAAACTTGATCACAATGAAGATAGGAGGAAAGAGAGAGGGAAAGTTTGTAGCCGGTGAATTAGTGTTTGCTTGTGGGAGGATAATACCAATGAATATACAGATATGGAAATGAGGAAGAAGGGAAAAGGAACCAGATCATCTTTTCCCAAGGTGCAACCCAGGTACCGTTCGTGCAACGTTTATGTCATTTTTAGGTGGACACACACTTTTGTTCTTGGGATAAAGTTCCCATTAGTTTAAATAGAAACCAGACCTTGATTTCTATATACCATTCTCCAGGGAAAGGAAAAATGGTTGATTTCAAGACTCTGGCAGCGGGAACACTGAGAGCATCCAAATGAATGAGAGAAGAGGCTGCAATACATTGAGTAAAAAAAAAAACCAAAACCAAAAACCAAAAACCATGAGTCCATCCTGATATTAAAAAATATTTTTAGAAGGCGTGGATGGAGAAAAAGGGAAAATTATTCTTTTTTTTCTTTCGGACTTATTTATTTATTTATTTATTTAGCATAGTATAGTATAGTC